CATCCCAGTCTGACCTCAGACTATAAACCCGTCAGGTTGACTGTGACCCTGGGATGGCATTTTGGGGTTTGGCATATTCTCCTTTTTGTTTGCTACTGTTGGACATGTTACAATTTAAAAATAAAGTGATTTTAAAAAACTCATCCAAAATCCTACTTAACTTTCCATTGCTCAACAGCTCATGATCTCCTGGCTGGCTGCTCCTGTCTTCCTGGTGGCTGTTGACTGCTACTCAGAGGTCCAACGCAGACAGTTGGGCTGTAGATCAGCCCTGCCCTGGGGCCTGCCTTTCCTTCCAAAGCAGGGTCTGCTCAGTGAGCAGGTGTGAAAATGGTGTTGCTGGGACCTGCCTTAGTTAGGAACAGGGCCTTGCATACATTGCCTTTTTGGGGGTAGAAGGTTGCCTATGTTTTGTGGAGGAAATATTGACTTCTAAGACATGAAGGCAAAAATATTAAAAACACACACTGATGTAACATTTTCAGTGTCAAAGGACTGAAAATGGCCTAGCTGTCATTGCCAAATAACTAGATGAATAATCCATGGTAAATTCTCAAAGTAGAGAACTGATATGAGATATGGCTGTGAGGAGTGATAGCCAATGTTATTAATAATAAAAGGTCAAAGGAAGCACTGCATATTATGCTATCATTTATCATTAATTTATATTATTTCACTTTTATTTTTATTGATATTAATAATAATATATTTGTATTTTTGTGTGTGTGTGTGTGTTGTGCTTATTTATATATCTGTACACCATAGGAAAGGGTGTTGGATCTCCTGGAACTGTAGTTACAGATAGTTGTGAGCCACCATGTGGGTGGTGCTGGGAATCTAATTTGGGTCCTCTGCAAGAGCAGCCAATACTCAAAATTATGGAGCCATTTCTCAAGCCCCATTATATTAAGTAAAAAGATAAAGAGGGAAAATTGGCTATTAAGAGGGAGGAAATATGAGGGGTTGGAGATGAAGCCTCAGCGGGTACTGGGTACACACAGGTGGCACACAGATAGACACCCAGGGTAACACCCACACACATTAAATGAAACTAAATTAAAAAAATCACAAGCAGTCGCTAAAAATGTCAGAGCCAACAAGATGGTTCAGTGGGGAAACACGCTTGCTGCCAAGATTGGTCGCCTCAGTGTGAGCCCTGGAACCACTACAGCAGGAGAATCAAACAGACGCTCACAGTGGTCCTCCACAGGTGTGGCACGCACCACCCCTCACACAAACAAATAAATGAAAAATAATAAAAAAATTTTAGCAAAATGAAATGCAACAATTCTGATTGTAGCTTGAGCTAGAGCTGTAAAGAATATTTTAAGTGATTTGAAAAAGCAAACCAACTGTACAACACTCATGCTTGACAACAATAAACTTGAGGATAAAAACAAACAAAACACAAAAGAATTATTGTTACCAGCGGTACTGGTGATGTTTTTCTGGGAGATGTTTTCCAAGACGTAAAATTATTATAGTTGTGTTTTGAGACAGGGTCTCACTGTGTATCTCTGGCTGGCCTGGAACTGCAATAGGGTTCTAGGAACCGAACCCAGGTCCTCTGCAAAAGAAACAAGTGTTTCGGAAAAACAAAATAAAACAAAAAAAAAGATGCTGGGCGGTGGTGGCGCATGCCTTTAATCCCAGCACTCGAGAGGTAGAGGCAGGTGGATCTCTGTGAGTTCAAGGCCAGCCTGGTCTACAGAGCAAGTTCCAGGACAGGCTCCAAAGCTACGCAGAGAAACCCTGTTTCGAAAAACAAAACAAAACAAAACAAAAAAAAAAAGAGAAAAGAAAAGGAAAAAAAAAGAAAAAGAAACAAATGTTCCCAACTGCTGAACCATCTCTCCAGCCCCAAATAAAATAAATTTAAAAAGGAAGCAACAGATACTATGTGCCTTCCACTCAAGGTACCAGCCAATACTAATAAAGTATTCTTCATAATAAAGACAATCCAAATTTCATGAAATATCTGAACAGAACCACAGGTATATATGAAAGAGAGGGGACAGAGGATCACATTTACAGGTTCTATAGAAAAGCTCTCAGGAAAACCCAGAGTGTGAGAAATTCTACAAGAATAACTTATCCAAATCAGGCGGTGGTGGCACAGACCTTTAATCCCAGCACTTGGGAGGCAGAGGCAGGCAGACTCTGAGTCTGAGGCCAACCTGGGCTACAGAGTGAGTTCCAGGACAGCCAGGGATACATAGTCAGAATCTGTCCCTAAAATACCCCAAAACCAAAAGAAAGAAAGAAAGAAAGAAAGAGAGAGAGAGAGAGAGAGAGAGAGAGAGAGAGAGAGAGAGAGAGAGACAGACAGACAGACAGACAGACAGAGAGGGAGGGAGGGAGGGAAGGAGGGAGGGAGGAAGGGAGGGAGGAAAAGAATAAACAATTTAATATTCTACCCTCTAACAAACCTCCGTGTCATCTCATATATGCTGAAATGTGAGGATTCCCTGCTACATGTTAAAGTTGATCAATAAATTATACCACATGGACCTAATTCAAACAAAGAAAAAACCCAAGTCAACTGGAGAAATTTAAACAATGACTGAGGGGCTGAAGGTATTGAGGAATCATTGTTAAATTTCTGTTTTTTAATTATATTATTTACTTGTTTATTTATTTGCAATGAATATAGATGTGAGTGGACCCAGCACAGTGGAGGGGTCTCAGGACAACTTGTGAGAGTTGATTCTGTTCTTCCACCGTGTAGGTCCTGGGGATTGAAGAGAGCCTGTCAGTCTCAGTAGCGAACCCCTTTTCCTGCTGAGCCATCCTGTGAGCCCTGCTGTTAAACTTCTAGATAACGTTGAATGTGGATAATGTTGAGGTCATGCTTTAGAGAAATGTTTTAGAAACACAGGATGAAATACAGATGGAATGATATCACGTCTAGGGCTTCCTTCAAAGTCATCATGCGGAGGAAGAGGAGGAGGAGGTGATTGGCAGGCGTTGATGGTTGGAGCTAATGATGACACATGGGGTTCCTTATGCTATTCTAGTTTGTGCATTTTCAGTCCTTGGATCCGTTATTACCCAGAAAAATGTGTAAACTAATACACATTGACAGCTAGTCACACCGACTTAACACAGACTGCAGCCTTAAGAAGACCCAGCAGCAGATTTCTCAAAGTAACGAGAGAGCTTTGCTGTAGTTTGGATCCAGAATGGCTCCCCGAAATCCCATGTGTTTGGAAGTATCGGGGAGTGGCAGGGCCTAATGGGAGGGCAAGCTATTGAAGTGGATTATGAGACAAGGTCTTCTGCTGTCTTTACTCCCAGCCATGAGGTGAACAGCTCTGCCTCCTGCCATCATCATGGCCCCAAAACAAGAGAGCCAGTGGATCTGAGAGCAAGAATAAACCTTTTCTCTTCATGAGTGGATTGCCACAGCTACTTTGTTACAGTAACAGAAAGCTGACTGACACAGGAGAGAAGAGGAGGAAGGTCCTAAGTATAATCCACACGACGACGACAGAGTCTGAGGCAGGCAGGCACTAAGTGAGAGGCGCTTTGACGATGACACATCTCAGTGGAGAAAAGTACCACTTGCCATCACACTACCATCTAGAAACACAAGACTCTGGATAATGGTTTTTGTTTGTTTGTTTGTTTTTTGTTTTTTGAGACAGGGTTTCTCTGTGTAGCTTTGGAGCCTGTCCTGGAACTCACTTGGTAGCCCAGGCTGGCCTCGAACTCACAGAGATCCGCCTGGCTCTGCCTCCCGAGTGCTGGGATTAAAGGTGCGCCACCACCGCCCGGCTGGATAATGTTTTAATGAGTCACATAAGGACCTGGAAAAGCATCGTCAGGCCCTTGTCCTGTCATTAGAGGCCGCTGCTGAAGCCATGGGATAAGTCTCAGTCTTTGTCTCACAGAAGAGGCCAGGGACAAGCTCTCCTAGGAGCTTCATACTAGACTTACCACTAAGCTAGGGACACCTAGTTCAGCTTCCTAGCTGAACAAACACAAAGATTTGGGAAATGGGGGGCTGGGGTTCTTCCTTCTGTTTCTGCTTGACACAGGGTCTCGTGTGGTCCAGGCCTGTCTCATACTGACTATGTAGCACATGTCTCCCATGTGACCAACCCATACTGATGGAGATTGCACAACCAGAAGATGAACTCAGGGTCTCTTGCGTGCTAGACAGCAACTCTCCCAACTGAGCTCCCCTCTGCTCCTCTTCCTGTCTTGTTTTGTTTGAGACATAGTCCCACTATGTCATCCAGGCTGCCCTCAAACCCACGATCCGCCTGTCTTATCCTCTAGAAATATTTTTTTTTTTTTTTTTTTTTTTTTTTTGGTTTTTCGAGACAGGGTTTCTCTGTGTAGCTTTGCGCCTTTCCTGGAACTCACTTGGTAGTCCAGGCTGGCCTCGAACTCACAGAGATCCGCCTGGCTCTGCCTCCCGAGTGCTGGGATTAAAGGCGTGCGCCACCACCGCCCTGCAGAAATATTTTTTTTTAAATAAAATGTATATAAGGCAATATTACCAGTAGATCGATGTGTATTTGGACATTGAAAATCCTCTCAACCCATCTAGTTTTAAATTTTTAATTGGAATGGTTCCCCATCCCACCCACTTCTCAGTGCTGCACAGAGTTTTCTGGAAACTTCTCAGGGCTTCATTCATCTGGAAGGCATCACCTCTTGGTTCTTCTAGCAGCAGCAGAAGAAAGCCATGAAATGAAAGACAATTGGAGTGTTCTAAACATTCCGTGGCCAGATGCCGGTCTTACCAGTCTCCCATGTGACCAACCCATACTGATGGAGATTGCCAACTAACGGTGCAATCTTAAACATTGCCTCTCTTACTCTCTTGTTCCTCTATGTCCAAGCTGGGCAGGAAGAGAGCTATTCCCTCCTAGAAGGCGCTCTCCAGCTCAGGGAGAAGTCAGATGGGCAGACAGGAGCAGGCTCTATTTCCCCAGCCATAATACTGGGTCATGTTTTTGAGACATGTTTTCTGTAAAGTGAAAAAACTCTGGCAGAATCCATGATTTAATGTTGACTCCTTGATCTAGAAGGATCCACTTGGGGTTACCAGGCTCTCTCTCCTATTTGCCCCTGAGAAGAAGGCTCACAGGGGTATTAGACCATTAACAGAGTGAGAACATACTCAGTCAGAACAAGCTTGGCAACCTCAACACAGAACAGTTGGCCATTGTCTCAGACACGCACTACGAGCTCCTCCCCCACCTCAGCTCATTTCAAACTCACACAGTCATTCACACAGCATTCTGAGAGTCTGTTCTGTCTCCAAAGCGGGTAACTACAGTGGGGCTTAAAGCAGAGAAAAAAAAGAAGTGTGATGGTGGTACAGTGTTTGTTTTCTGGCTTCCCTGTGCCAGCCCGTGAGACAGAGCACAGTACATTGCTCTAACAGCCTGGGTGAACAGGCCAAGTAGATGGGAACATGACAGAGAGGAGAAATGACCATTGCAGCTCTTGCCTACAGTTGTGTCCTTGGGAAAGAGAAATCAGCCCAGATCTCAAATCTCAGTCCCCCGACTGCCATGGCATCCTTAGAAGTCATAGCGAGACACAAAGATGGTGACCTTGGATACATGGTTGGCCTGGAAGGAGCGTTCCAGGTATTCTGACATGTCAACATCTACCTCCAGAGTCTGAGGCCCCTCCAGGGTCTGTGTAAGGATGAGCTCCCCTGTCTGTCGGTCTGAGCGCTGCATTACGAAGTGGCCACGGCTGTTCCCACCCACAATTCCAAAGCGCAGGCTGTTGGGCCCAGGATGGCCAGGAACTGAGGCTGTGGCCATGCGGAAGAGTGTGATGGGTGTCTTCAGGTTGGAAGGTAGAGAGAGGTAATGGAAGGAGATGGTCTTCGGCAGGTGGCGACATGGCCTGCTATCCATGGGACAGGGGCTTCGCTCACACTGGCTGGAGCAGAGGTAAAATGGAGACAGTTAGGATTGGGAAAACTCAAGAGGGGCTACCCCATCTGCCCTCCTGCAGAGGCCACACTCCTGTGGACTCTAGTATCTCTTTTGAAGAACAAATTGTCTGTGCTTCATGTGAGTTGGTAATTATAGGGGAAATGGAAGCTCCAAGAAGCTTCTCTGTCTTTCATATTTCCTGTGTACGATGAAATTATCTGCCTCCACCCCCCCACCCCCCCGCCCCCATGAACTGCATGCCCAGCCGTGGGCAGCCCTGGATCTACTCACAAGGGAGATGTCTTCACGTAGCTTATGTTGCCGCTGCCCTCGGGGCACTCGGGGCTGACACACTGGAAACCTCCTCCAGTATTGATGCATGTGGTCCCTTGGGGGCACATGGACTGTGGACCCACACACTCATCAACATCTGTATTTCAGGAGACACAATGGAGGCTGTGAATCTTCCTGACTTTCCTGCATCATACAGCCACTTGAAACCCCAACAGGCAATGGGAATGGGAGACTCCACAAAGGGTAAATTTTCCAAATACCCAACACTTACTCTGTGTGTGTCGGGGGCAGCACACATTCATGTGAGTGTGCATGTGTGCGGAGACCAGAGGCTGACAATTTGGGAATTTTCCTCAATCACTTCTCCACATTATTTTTTGAACAGAGTCTCTCACTGAACTTAGAGCTCACTGGTTCCACTAGGCTGGCTGGCTTGTGAGTGCCAGGGATCCATCCCCTTACAGCAAGAACCTTATCAGACATTCTTTCAACATCTGGAATGAGGTCCTTCAAAAGTGCTCTAGGACTGTGGTGGTGAATCCCCCTCCCTGGGATGCTGTCTTCCTATCCTGGGCTGTGACAAGTGACAGGGGTTCCTGCCAACACCAAATGAGTGTTACCAGTCACCTGCCTCCTTCTCAGCCCCAGGCACTTTTGAGTCTCCTTATTACCCATGGTTGTCCTCACACTCAGACTCAACCCTTCAGGAATGTCTGCCTCCTTAACCACATCCCATACCGAAAGCAGACATCTGGACTCGGTCATTTTTTATAAGAGTTCTCTGTGCTCTCTACAAACATCCAGTGAATTTACCCAGCTGGAGGCTGTCCCTTCCCAAGCCCCATGTGGGCCCATATGAGTGCTGTGAGATGGATGATGGAGTGGATGGGTGGATGATAGATGAATGGATGGTGGATGAATGGGTGGGTGGATGAATGGGTGGGTGGATGAGCAGAAGTGTAGATGGGTAGATGTGAGAATGACTATCTGGACATCTCCTATTCTAGTTCCCAGCTGCCCACTCCTCTGCAACTTACACTGGAGTTCAACAAGATGTCACCAGAGAGCTACCTCTCTCTTTATATTCCAAGTCAGCTTGTGGCTTAGCTTCCTGCCCTTTCTCTTTGCCTTCTCCTCCGTAATTCAGAGCCATTTTCTGACACCCACTGGGTGCCCTTCAGTGTCCTTAGTCCATGGGGGAGTCAGGCCTGAACATCCTCCCAATGTGAGCCTGAAGCAGCTGCATTCTCCCCAGAGGTCCCCTGCCGCCCCAACTCCTAATCAAGATGAGCAAGAGGAGACTCTACTTTGCCTTCAGGCCTGAATTGTATACAGCAGTCCCAACTTATACATGGTTTGACTTACTTGTGGCCAACTGTAGTTTGAAAATATTAAATAAAAATTTTTAGAAACAAGCAGTTCATTAGCTTTTAATAAATTTTATTATAGTATATTATAGTTATTTATCTTGCTATTCGTTGCTGTTAATATTTGCTCTGCCTAATTTATAAATTAAACTTCACGATGCTAGGTATGTACTGTAGGACAGAAACATCATACACGTAGGGCTGACACTATTCTGAATTTGGGTATTGACCCATGGCTGGGAGGGGGCTACTGTATTCTGATTGTGCTAATACAGAGAACTGATGTGTATCTGTTTATTAACCTCTGTGTTTGTCTTCAGAGGAGGTATGGTAACAGGAGGCCTCCCATTGGTGTGCCCAGGCTCTGCTAGATTTGTCTGGTGTCCATGATGGTGCCTGCAGCTTTCAGCCTCTCCTTTCTACCCCCCACTCCCGCTTTACCTGCAGACATTCCTTGCTGATGAAGGTACTTATTTGCACCATGTCTGGAAACAGAGAAACCTCAGCCCTGTCGTCCAGAGGGTCACAATGGATGGGTGGCACTTAAGTAGAATCTGAACCAGGTGTTTGCATTTACAACCCACCCTCTAATCTTTTTCTCTGTCCCTGGGAGACTGACTGGCCTGGACCATCTGCCTAGACTTCCAGGCCTTCTGATTCCCAGGTCTTCTGGTGTGTAGTGGAGTTTGGCGAATGGAGGCCTGAGCGGCTGTGGTCTCTGTTTTCAGCCTGGGCTCAGTTCTGGTGGCGGATGAATACTTCCAGCCACAATGGTCATCAGGCTCTTATGAGCCCTGTTCCTCGCTCCTGCCTGTCATTGGTGGCTCTGTCTGTCTGTTGTCCTCAGCTAGCCACCACACATGGTCAGAGCTGTCGAGCCTGGCTATGCTGAGATACAGCACCTGTAGTCAGAGGACCCTAGTAGGTGGACACACAGGGCCGTGAAGCCTCCGAGGTCCCTTCAGGTTCCAATAAAGTGGACTCAGGCTGGCTTCTTGGCCTTTGGGTTCAGGTCTGGCTGAGGGCAGTGCTGAATAAGAGGAAGTGACCTTACCTAGAAATGTCACTCATATGAGGTCAGAAGAGGCTCGATGCTTAAACAGTTGATTTGTGTAGAACATATAGCCTGATCTTTGAGAGTTCTTTTTAATTTCTTCTCCAAGATTGAATGTGTGCCCAGATCATTGATTCTCTTAGCCTAATCACTCCTGAATGGGATGAGAGCAGGGGTCATAACAGCAGCAGGTGACCAGGTGTGGAGGGTGACCTCGAGCCTCGTGGTCACCCTCCTCTGCTGCCGTCTCACTCACCCTCACAGCTCTTCCCATCAGCCAGGATCCGGTATCCACTGGGGCAGGTACAGCGGTAGGAGCCAGGGGTGTTCTCACAGGCGTGCATACAGAGCCGGGGGCGTCCTTCCTGCCCGTAGATCTCACACTCATTCACATCTGGGGACAAAAGTGCCCTTGATTCCAGGAGGCTATGTGGCCTCCATCAAACGAGACTCTTTGGCAACTGTGACTAAATACGCGACAAACTATACCTGCAGAGGACCATCTGGGATGCTCCCCTTCCCCCCAAGGGCCAAGAGGGCTGGAGGGAGGAGTAGAAGGAGCTGATGTGGGGGACTTCCGGGGGGCTCCTCAGTCTAACCTGGGAAACGCTACAAAGCCTAGCAAGTCAAGTACCACAGTCGGGGAGGAGAACCAGATGCAGACATCCATCTTGGCTCTCCTCAACTTCAGCAATGGAGATGCGGAGTAAGGGAGCCCTGCAGCCTGTGTGGTGAGTGAGGCAGGCCTGTAACCCCAGTGTTTGGGAGGCTGAGGCACCGATCTCCGTCGGAGGCCAGCCTGGACTGTATAGTGAGACTCCGCTTTAGAAGCAGGTGGGGAGTCTTTTTATTTCCGATGCTGTGAAATGTGCATCAACTGGCCAGATCTCAGGGTGGAGCTGCTCTAGAGTCGGCTAAACTGAGAGGAGGTGGCTAGGGAACGAGTCTCAGAGTGTGCCCACATCCATGGCCCTGTCTGCCTTAAGTGCTCCCAGCAACTCCCTTGCCACGCTGCCAGGGGACAGGGAGGAGGTTGTGGTCCCAACTGGGCACAGTAGTTCCGGGCTATCACCCCCAGGCTGCTTTCCTCCTCCCCCGCTTCCCGCTGTGTTACAGAAGATGACCTTGAACTTCTGGTCCTCCTGCCTCCATTTCCCAAGGGTTGAGATTACAGGCCTGTCACTCCAAATTTAAGTGGTGATGAGATTGGACGAAGGGCCTTGTGCATGCTAGGCAAGCACTCTAGAGACTGAATGCACATCCCCAGCACTCCATCTGCTGTCTACACTGTCTCAGAGAAGGCCCCAGTGCACCCTACTGGAGCCCAGTAAGGGAGGAGAACCAAGAAGGGCGTGCTATCTCCAGAATCCCCCTTAAGTCTACCCTTTAATTTCATCCATCGTGGCAAATCGCTGGTATTTCTGAGATCACGCCCAGGAAGGCCCTCGCCCCACCCTGCACTCCGCCCCAGGGCTGCAGATAGGACCCTTGGTTCCCAGGCTCAGTTCCCCGCGTCTTCTCCCGCGATCCCCGCTCCCCCGCGGAGCCGGAGCCTACCCTGGCAGACGCTGTCGCCGCCGGCCATGCGGCTCAAGTGGAATCCCGCCTCGCAGCTGCAGTGCTGCTCCTGCTCCACCTGCGCGCAGCGCGGCGCGCGGCTGAAGGCGGGGTCGCCGGCCACGCCGCCCTCGGGGGCCGCTGCGGGAAGAAGACACGCTCAGCGCCCGACCACCCCCCCACCCCCCACCCCCCGGCACCTGCAGTGCGCCCCGGGGCTGGTGAGACCCTATCTCTCGTGCATACTGTACCGCCGGGAAGAAATGACAAGTGGTTGAACCTAAACCACTGAGAGGAAGGACCTGGACCCGTGAGGGAGCGATGTAACAGCTGGACATGTGCAATGTGAAGTTCGAGATTCATTTTGAGAAATTTGTTTGTTTGTTTGTTTCGAGACAGGGTTTCTCCGTGTAGTTTTGGTGACTGTCCTGGATCTCGCTTTGTAGACCAGGCTGGCCTCGAACTTACAGATATCTGCCTGGCTCTGCCTTTCGAGTGCCGGGATTAAAGGTGTGCGCCACCACCGCTGCCGGGCTCATTTTGAGAATCTTGTACAACGCCCACGATGCAGTGACTCCTAGAGTTTAAAATCTTGAGTTTCCACTTTTTCTGTTCAGTGTGTGTGTGTGTGTGTGTGTGTGTGTGTGTACACACAGCTTGTGGCTTCTTTCATATGTTCAAGGGTAGTTTTGTTAATACAGTTTTTGCATCTTTCCAAGAACAGAAATTAGTTTTCTAACCACAATAAAAATAAGGTAAACGGGATAAAAACAAAACAAGCAAAACCAGGGTCTCACTATGTAGCCCAGGCTGGCCTGGAACTCACTGTGTAGACCAAGCTGGCCTTTAACTCTTGCCTCGGCCTCCTGATTAAAGGATTTTTAAAAAGATTTTATTTTATGTTTAAGTGCCTGCGTGTATACATGTACAACATGTAGTGCCTGATGCCCGTGGAGGCCAGAAGATGGTTTCTTCATCTCCCTGGAACTGGAGAGTTAAAGATGACTGTGAGGCACCATGTGGGTGCCGGGAACCCCTGACCTCTGCAAGAGCAGTGCCTGCTCTTAACCTCTGACCATCTCTCCAACTCTGGTAAATGGATTATTAAAAAACAATTCTTGGCCAGGCAGTGGTGGTGCATGCCTTTAATCCCAGCCCTCAGGAGGCAGAGCCAGGCGGATCTCTGTGAGTTCAAGGCCAGTCTGGTCTACAGAGTGAGTTCCAGGAAAGGCCCAAAGCTACACAGAGAAACCCTGTCTCTAAAAACAAAACAAACAAACAAAAAACCCCAAAAACAAAACAAACAAACAAAAAAACAAATTCTTGTAGTTACTCTCAAGACTTAGGCAGCATCACCTGAGACCAGTTCAAGGGCAGCCTGGGTAGCAGAGTCAGACTCAGTCTCAAAATAATATTAGGGACTGGAGAGATGGCTCAGTGGTTAAGAGCCAGAACCAGCGCTCCAGAAGACTAGAGTCTGATTCTCAGCACCAACATGGGGAGGCTCACAACTGCCTGGAACTCCACTTCCAGGGGACTGAAGCCCTTTTCTGGCTTCCACTAGTACTGCATTCAAGTGTACGCATCCACACAAACAAATGCACACACACCCACAACTTAAAAATCAGAAATTAGAAAAATACTGGGGAGAGGCTTACAGGGTACTGGGAAAGAGGCATAGTCCAGGAAGGTTCTAGGTAAGTCTGTTGGGTCATTTCTTAGTGTGGACCTGCTCACTTCTTACTCTCCATTCCTGGAGAAGACTCCAGTCTTGGAGACACTTCATAAAATGAGGAATGATGACCCGAAGGTCCTACAGCAGAAGGACCCCCTAACAAGGCGCATTTAGTGGCTAGTACGGTATCACCAAGGCGAAAAGAAATTTTTTCTGCTCTTCTTTATAAACAGTCAGTGAGCTTCCAAGAAAGCCCCGCCTCCCACTGTTTCAACAGACGGTGACTCCAGACATAAGAGCTACAGGGGACCTCTTCACTATGAGAAAGGATCTGTCAGGCTAGTCCCACTGACTTGTCGAGGCAGTCAGCAGCAACCTTATAGGTGCACTATTTAACCCTGACTTGGAGCTGGCTGCTCTAGAGGGCATGAAGTTGTTGTTTTATTTTATTTGAGGCAGGGTCTCCTGTATTCCAGGCTGGACTTAGACTCTGCTATGAAGCCAAGGATAGCCTCAGATATCAGGTCCTCCTGCTTCTTCTTCACTGGTGCTGGGATCACAGATGCCCACCACCATGCCCAGCTTCATGTGATGCTAGGGATCAAATGCATGGCTTCCTGCCTGGGAGGCAAGCATTCTACAAGGTGAGCTACATCTCCAGCCCCAAGAGTTTGTCAGCTCTTATTCTCTGGACCTTACACTATCCACCAAAATGCCCTTTCCCCCACGGGATGTGTCTATGAAGAAATAACGACAAGCTAGGCCTGTCGGGAAAGGAAAAGGGCATCTTTCAGTTACACCTCTCAGTTGCAGAATGGTGTGAAACCCCTCACCCATCCTTCATAGATTGCTTATCATGAGGTTTTCTTGCTGTGTGCTGGGACTCAAATGTCTGGTTATTCATATCTTAAAATACATTGGGCTGCTGACCTTGCAGGGTGTGATAGAATCATCGGAAGGAAAAGCGATTCTGCTAGCGGGCGAAACACTAAGCAGGTAAACGTGCTCTGTGTAGCAGGCCATGTCTCTGATCTGCATGCTGTTAAGTTGGAGCCTGTCTCTCCAAAAGAAGGATCAAAACTCTGGTTATAAAAAAAGAGCAGAGCCCATCTACAGGAGCGCCTTAGGGTACCAGCAGGGTCAGCCAGTGGATGGGAACCACAGAGGAAAAGCTTGAGTCTACGAGAGGCACAGAGTTCCTAACACATCTGCCTTTGGTGACCACGACCAGCATCCTTGCCAGGCCCCAGGGGAGCATCCTCACCAAGTCCCACAGGGGCTACATACCAGCCTGGGTCTGATGCTGACAGCGGTTCCCAGTTTTTCCTGGAGGACAGATGCATCTGTACTGGTTGACTCCTTCCACACACGTCCCACCGTTGTGACAAGGCTGGCTGGAGCATGCCCTGATGTCTAGGGAAGGATGTCAACACATGGTTATGTGGACTCTAGTGCTCAGTCGAGCAAACGCTAACAGTAGTGGGTTTTCCCTCACACGGCAGGACCACTCCAGCTTCCCGTCTGGCTTGGTTTTGGTTTGTTTTTGAGACAAGGTCTCATTATGAAGCTCAGGTTAGCATGCTTGTTTGTGATCCTCCTGCCTCAGCCTCCTGGGAACAGACATGTTCCACTACACCATCACCACCCCAGCTTTCTACCTTGCCCTGGCACTCTCGACCTGTGGGAGCTGCAAGGGAACCTATGAGCGGAGATGAGGCCATTGCTTCTTGAGTACCTGCCTCCCACCGTGCCCACACGGGGCTCTATGTGCAGGAACTGGCAGAACACCACCCATGCTCCGTGAAGGAACCTGATGCTGTAATTTACGAGGGGGCAGTGGACACAGCTGTAGCCAGGTGTTGGCCTCTGCCTGTGAGTGAGGCCCTTCAACTCTGTGAGCGAGGCCCTTCAACTCTGCTCCAAGGTAGATCCTAGGCTGGCTTGAACTCCCTCTCTGTGTAGTCAAGGATGAAACTGAACTTAGGATCTTCCTGCTTCCACCTCCTGGGTGCTAAGATTAACAGCTGTGTATCACTATGCCCAGTTTTATTGGATGCTGGGGTGGACCCCAGGGCCTCAGACATGCTAACCTTATTGTACTAACTGAGCCACATCTCCATCCCTGGGTCATCCTTCAAACAGGAGTTCAATTCCAAGAAATTAAAGAGGGAGAGAGGATGGCCCACTGGAATATCCAGAGATGGGGGAAGTTAACTCAGCTCCCCTGAGCTCCACCAATTGGGGGCTATTGACGGTTCCAGGGTTGATGAAGGGAGTAGTTCTGGGGTTGCATACTCTGTTGTTCCATGGAGAGGAGAGAAGAGAGAGAGAAAGGAAGAGAACTTTTAAAGTTCAGTAGGTTTTTTTTTTCTCTGAGTTAGTTAGCTCAGCAGTTGAGTACCTACCTGGCATGCATGAGGCCCTAGGTTCAAATCCCCAGTACTGCCCCCACAAAGAAACTTGAGTTCCAGCTTTTCTCTGCTAGGCTTATGGGTGTTTGTTGTTTGTTAGTTTTTTTCTCATTTGTCAATTTTTTTATCCTTCCCTTGTCTACAACAAATACTTATAAAATGTCTTACTTTGGAAAAGATGACTTTGTAGAACCTTCTCTGTTACAAATGTCCCAGGCCTGTTAAAGCACATACATACACAAGCCATCCAAGAGGAGCTTTGTCAGCTTGCTGGCTTCCCTACGGTGCAGAACAGTGCTTGCTCTTAACCTCTGAGCATCTCTCAGAGGAGGGAAACCTGAGAACGTCCCCTTTCAGGCCTAGAAGTGACCTTTCTTTCTGTGTGTCTTCCAAGAGGAAGAAGCAGGGACTTTGCATCTAGTGAGAACCATAGCCTCATTCTGGGTCATTTGGAAGAGACCTTGGCTTCCTTTATTAAGACTCAGACTGTCCCAACAGTTTGTCCACAAAGAAGGCCCTATATCCATTTCTCTGTAACCTCAGGCCGGTGACATGCTTCCCCGGTCAGCCTGTTTTCAGATGATCAACTTCCGGGAATGTGCCTGAGACCATACTACACACAAATGACAGTGCCCCCCCCCCCCCCACAGCCCCATCAGTGTTCCAAGGTCTCTCAAGATCCAAACCTATCTTTGCTTACTGCCCCCCTCTGAAAGCGGGCAGATCAATAAATCATGAAGGTATGGGAAGGAAGCCAGAAAGTGTGAGTGCTTCTATCCCTCAGTTTGGTCTCAGCACACCCACACCATTGTCTGTCCTCAGGGAGACCCCAGTGGAAGACAAGCCAAGCTTGCACCTGAACCCCTCAGAGGGGGCTAGGTTGACATCAGCTGGATAGAGATGTGAACAGGTGTCTCAGTGGATTCATTTCATTACTGGCTCCAGACAGACGTTCTGCATTTCTTATCTTGATGAGCAGTCAGAGGTATCCAATGGCCTGATGCCCAGGCTGGCAAATGCCTTGTCCCAATTGAAGGATAGCTGTCATCACATTCAAGTGTGTCCCAGGCTGTGGCCTTCAGCTATGATTTTAGAACTGTGAAGAGGGCAATGGCAATGGTGGTAAGAAAAAGGCTGGCAAGCCATGGCATGGGCACGATCATGTTTCCCTCTCCTGTTTCATGAATACTTATTCTTCTATAAAAGTGAACTGTCATATGTATACTTTTTTCTCTTTTAAAAAGTATTTATGTATAGGGTCTCAAGTAGCAGAGATTGGCCTTGAATGTGATATGTAGCTGAGGATGACCTTGGTCTTTGGTTTCCCGTCTCCACATCTTGAGTTCTAGGATTACAGGCATGACCCACCATGCCTGATCTGTGTAGTGCCGGGCATTAAACCCAGGGCCTCATCCCCACTAGGCAAGCACGCTACCATGTGAGCTGCACCCTCATCCCCCTCCCTCTTTTTTTCTTTTTCTTTCTTTGTTCCCGGGTTCTGCATTTTGTTTCAAATTTCCCATTGTTCCAGTGACTTTATTTCTAAGGTTTTCTCATTTTTTAGTTTTTCTTTTACATTGGGTTGTTTTTTGTGTGGGGGGCACACGAACGTCATGAGTGGAGAGGTTAGAGATTAACTCTCCAGAGTCCGTTCTTTTCATCTACCTTGTGAGTTCCAGGGCTTGAACTCAGACCATCAGGCTTGGGGGCGAGAGCCTCTCCCTACTGGCTATCTCTCTCGCCTAGATGTTGTTCTTGTAGTCTCTCTATTTTAAAAACTTCTAGAGACATGTTTTGAAATATTGGCTTGTAATTTCCTTCTGCTTTATGGGTATATGGGTATGTCTTTCTGACAATTCTTTGTTGTCCATCCTCTGTTTTGTTTTGTTTTTTAATTTTTATTTTTGTGTACCAGCTTGCATGGGATTTGACAGGAGTATGTCCCATGTTGTCACCACTACCCCCCCACCCCTGCCACTTACATGAGGTACATTTCCCTGTGTACCTTTAGCCTCTAAAATTTCCTTTCCTGTTATTTTTCCATTGTGACCAAAAGCAGAACCTCCTACTTCACCAATGTCTTGATGGCATTAAAATTGTTTTTAGATTTAGTTTATTGTCTTATGTGTTGGAGTGCTTCTCTGCATGTATATGTGCAGCCCATGCATGCAGTTCCTGTGGAGGCCAGAAGAGGGCAAAAGATCCCCAGGTACTGAAGCTACATAGGACTGTGAGCTGCCATGTACATTCTGGGAATCAAACCCAAGTCCTCCGTAAGAGCAACAAGTGCTTTTAACTGCTGAGTCGACTCTGAAACCCTCTTGATGGCATTTTTATGTAAACAACCATATCTTATTTGAACTTGTGTTCTTTGTGTTCAACTCTGGTTGTCCCTGACATTTTGGCAAGAACCTTTTAGGGACTCTTGCTCAGACTCTCCCTGGAACTAAGGTTTCCTATTGAAGAGTCCTGCCTGGGGGTGTTGCCTAGTTGGCAGACTGCTTGTCTGGCATGTATCAAGAGCTAGGCTTGGTCCTCAGCATAAAATTGGGTATGATTACCTACACCTGTAATCAGATGCATAGTATTGAAGAGAGTCAACAAAATGGGCAATTTTATATCCAATCAAGCTGACCTCTAACAAATTGTCTCAAAAGTGTGTGAGCTCAGAGAACTGACCCTGAATTTTTCTTGAAGAATCAACCAATAAATCTCAAAAGGAGGACCCGAGCAACACTTTGCAAGATGTAAGAGACAGGACAACCAGTTAGAAATAATGGAGCTGATTTGGGGTCTGCTGTGGGACGTCTTTCTGTATGCTGTGAATATGTGTTGCTCTGACTGGTTGATAAATAAAATGCTGATTGGCTAGTAGTCAGATAGGAAATATGGCGGGACAAACAAACAAGGAGAATGCTGGGAAGAGGAAGGCCTGAGCCAGGAGTCACCGGCCAGATGTCAAGGCAGAACTGAGAAAAGGTACCAAGCCACATGGCCAAACATAGATAAGAATTATGGATTAATTTAAGTGTAAGAGCTAGTCAGTATTAAGCCTGAGCTAATGGCCAAGTGGTTATAATATAAGATTCTGAATGATTATTTTGTAAGTGGGCCGTGGGACTGCAGGGGCCTGGTGGGACCAGAGAAACTTCCAACTACAGGGGTCCAGTTCAAACAAAGAGCTAAAAATACATATGACAATAGGGAAAATTTTATTTTAGTTAGATGTTTTATGACACTAAGGAGTTTGCTTTGTGAAAATTATTGGAGTTTTGGTTTATAAGATCTTTTTTCTATATTTTTATGTGTTGGATTTTTTTCTTTTTTAAAAAAAGTTTATTTTTATTTTATGTCTATGAATGTTTTGCCTGCATATATGTGTGAGCACCACATGTGTGCAGTGCTGGATTCCCTGAAACTGGAATTATAGATGGTTATGAGGAGACCTGTGGGTGCTGGGAACTGAACCCAGATCCTCCGCAGGAGCAGCTAGTGCTCTGAACCTCTGAGCCACCTCTCCCTCACTGAATCTTTTCTTTTCTTTTCTCCCCCCTTCCTTCCTTCCTTCTTTCCTTCCTTCCTTCCTTCCTTCTTTCCTTCCTTCCTTCCTTCCTTCCTTCCTTCTTTCCTTCCTTCCTTCCTTCCTTCCTTCCTTCCTTCCTTCCTTCCTTCCTTTCTTTTGAGACAAGGTCTCTTCACTATGCAGCTCTGAGTGTCCTTGGAACTCACTCTGTAGCCCAGGCTGGCCTCGAACTCACAGAGATCTGCCTGTCTCTGCCTCCTGAGTGCTAGGATTAAAGGCGTGCGCCACCACCACCCGGTTTGCCCACTGCATCTTTAATGGTGTCGTTAAGTATAATTTCCTTCTATGCCAAGTACGGTTCATCACCCTCAGTGGCCTGCAGAGTGGGGACCGGCCAGTTATTAGAGTGTCGCCAAGTGTTTCACTGCACTGACATAATTTTGTGTCTTGAAGTGAATGACTGTAATTAAGATTATTGT